GTATAAGGATTATTAAATAATCTTCTTAAAACCTCTTTACGGATTTCCTTAATTATTTTTATCTGTATATTATTAATTTATTTAATAATATTTTCTATAATAATTTTAGTAATTTCCTTTTATTAATTAGTTAGCTTTTTAATAGTATTATTTAACGTAGTTTTAAAATATTTTTTCTAAGTATTAATTTATTCGGTTAATATAGTTTAAATATTATTATTAATATTATATTACTATAATATTAGGGACCCCTTATTTTATTTATTTAATTCGTTGATTATTTTTCTAATATTAGCCAACTATTCTATTAATATATCGCTAATTTTAATAGATTCCCTTACGAATAGGTTATTAATTTTCTTACGGTCTTTATTCAATATATTTTAAATATTAATTAATTGCAATATAATTTAATTAAATAGAGTATTAATTTGCCTATCGAATTTAGTATTGAAATATTCGATTAACTCTTTATTATTACCAAATTTAGCAAGTCTTACGGGAAAAACTTTATTTAAGTTACTACACAGGAAATTTATAGTTCTAGAATCACAATCGGTTTTTACTTGTATTATTCAATTCGATAGCCCTAATAAATTTCGATCGGCGGTTATATTATATTGTAAATAACTTATAGAAGGGTACTGAAATTCGTAACGAAGGTTTGCGATAGGTAGGGTATAGATTTAGGTTAGTAGTGGCTTATTGTGGGGTTCGGTGGTTATTATTATATAGGATTTATTATATTTAGGATAATAGAAGTTGGCTTCGCTTTTAATATATTCGATATTAGTATTTATATTATAAATATGTTTGTTTTAAATATCCGACGTATCTGTTAAATTATTATAATTATAGAGTTACTAAGGGTTTAGAAGGTTAAATCTAATTTTAAATATAAGGAGGATATTTTGAGGGTTTAGTATAGGATTATCGGATTTAATAAAGGAGCTGGGTATAGTGAAGATTCTCGAATTATTTAAAGTATATTAGATAAGTACGAATTTAAGTATAATTTTATAATAACGACCGGTATTAAAAAGTATAAAAAGTATATAAATAGGAATTAGATAGGAAGGATAGATACTACTACGTACCTAAGTTCGGTAGTAGGGGAAACCTTTAGTATTTAAATAAGTCTAGGATCTAGGTAGTAACATACGGTTACCTAAGTTCGCTATATGGGGTGGAATAGAGTGAATAATTGATTTCGCGAATACTTAAATTCATTGTATTATCGGGTGAAATCTTTACAATTACCCAAATTCGTTATAAAGGGAAGGGGGTAGATTGTATTAATTAAGTAAATAGCACGTTCTTTAGAGGGAAAGTAGTGAAGTTGTAAGAGTACTTAAATTTATTTTACATACCTCTAATTACTTTTTATTTTCGTTAGAAGCGAGAAGCGATCTTCTATTATTTAATACGACTTCGCCTAGTACCTTCTTAAATAAGGCCGGTCGGCGATAATAGTATAGTGTGGTTTAAATTAAGTAATTAAAATTGTAATTACTATTTAATATTATTAAGAGGGTATTTGAACGTTATAACAATAATATGTCTTGATTGAATATATATAAAGTAATGATCTGGAAAAGAATTTAGAGTAGGAAGCTTGCGTACAGTCAATTAACTAAGGCACGCAAGCCTTATCTAATCTATAGGACCCACATACGTGGGTGGGCTCCCGTGGGAGCGGTTTATTCAATTGAATGAACCCAACCGACTGGCTGGTTGTCTAGTTAGGTGATCTGACATGTAATGACGCTAGTGATACCGTTCCGGTATTAGGTATATTAATACTAAAGGTCTTTAAAAAAGTATAGGGTAAACCCTCTTACTTCTTTTTTAATAATTCAATTAATATTAATTTGGGTAATAATCCTTCTACTGTACAATACCCTTCTATTATATTAGAGCCCCCATCCTCTCCTCCCTACCTACCTTAATTTTAATTTTAATAATCTACTATTGAGAATACTACCGACGTCGTTTATTATTTTAATATATAAATAATTAATACTTTTTTTAAAAACGAAAGTATACTAGTTAATAATAATAAGGAGGAGGCTACGTATAAGGAAGTCTATAAGGGGGAGAGTAATAGGAATAAGGAGGGGGAGGAGGAGGAGGAGGATAAAGTTGATTTGCTACTATTTTAGTTAGTTAATTACCGTTTCTTTAACCTACCCGCTACCCCTAGACTTTATATTATATAAATTGGACTATTAATACTAGCTATCCCCCCCTCTATTCTATTATAATTACGGTCTTTTGAGTTAATACTATACTATAGGGTTATAAAGTACGTTGAAAGTACTATAAAACTTTAAATATAAGTAAGGAAGTAAGCCGTACGTATAAAGATTATATTAGTAAGGAGGGAGGCGGTAGTAGAGGAGGTAGTACTAGTACTAGTAGAGGAGGTACTAATACTCTTAGTAGAGGGGGCGCTAGTACTAGAAAATAATGAATAATAATTACAATTCGTTCTTTTATTTACTTATTACCTAATTGAGTAATATATTAGATTTCTAGAAGCCTTAAATAACGTTATATTAATATAAAATGTAGTAGTTTACTATAGAGATGGGTCACTTTACTAGTGGTTTACTATAGGGCTTGTCCTATAATAAAAGTCTGTCCCATATTTTTATAACCCCCTACTTAACGAGTAGGGGTTGAAAAATGGCCCCACACCCGGCCGCCCCCAACCCCCAAGTAAAGTGCCGGATATTAGTGCTTGCGTAACAACCGTTGGCATACGTGTGCTGTACAGTCGAACCCCCTGAAACTGCATCCACCAGATACTGTATATATACTAGTTAGAGTATAAGAATCAGCGGTTTGAATTAATTCTCAGCTACAACTGTATAACTGCATACTGCATATAAATCTCGGACAATTTTTGGTGCGTATACACTTACAGACTTGGTCTTGAGCGGGAAAATCTATAGTATAGGGTCGGATTTTAGTGTCTCGGCCACTAGTTGACTGCCTATTTGGGCCTAGCTTCAATCTAGAAACTGCATAGATGCTACTTAGTGCATAGAAATCCCAGGTCTGAATTACATGCAGTTTCAGGGGGTTCGACTGTAATGGTAAAGTGGCAGGTGGTGTGAAAAAAGGTACGGCCACTCGCTAAGTCTGGTTTGGTATAAGCGTGTCCGGGCTTGTTTTCACACCACCTGAGTGCTCAAGTTCCCCTCGGGATCCTGTCCACTGCGGTATTGTGTATAGGTGGTGGCGGTACATAGTACGCCCGAAAGGGCCGAGGCGAAGGATACACACTTTGTATCGTGGTCCCTCTTTCAACCCTATGTCGAACTCTGCCCGAGTAGGGGTTCCTGGATCGATGGATGAATGACTGGCTTGGAGACGACGACGGCGAGATCGGGCGAGATGGGCCCGCTGATTTAGTTCATGACAAGAGGAGCAGAAGACACACCACCGAACCAAATGGGACCCTCGCGCGCGCAGAAAGGCACGGCGGACGAAGATCGATCCGTGATCCATCAAATCAATCAGCCGATGTTGCCTTCCTGCAGTAGTGTACAGTATGGGGTAGCATCAGCGTTGCTCTACATGCAATATCTCTAGTATACACTATACACTACATACGTGTATGTACCTATGTAGTATGTACGCGCGCTAGCGGCTTTTATTAATCATCGAGCAGCGACACTGGCTTTGCATGGCCACTCAGAACCACTGAACCATCACGGTCGTTTACTGCACAGACTGGGGGCTTCGCGACGGAATGAGAACGACGCCGCCAGGAATGGTTGCCCTTATCTCGAAATGGAAACAAAAAAAGTGGAGGAGAGCCTTGCCTCTCACGCCTCTAATAAAAGAGTCTGAAGAGTCTGGACCACCGCCATAAGCCTCATAAAGGGAGGGGAAAAGCCGTTCTACGTAACACATGTCACTTTTTCCACTAGTGTACCTTTACGGTATCGTCTTCCCCTCTCACTCAGAGAACCCGTTGGCTGGTTTCAGTCGCTTCCCCTGCTCACCCTACGGTAGTGCCTTGCGTCTCATCACTCATTGGCTTCAGGGTCTCTGTGGTGTCATGCACAGTTGTCCGTGCACTTTGCGTTTAAACATTAAAGTGTGGTGGGCGCTTCGAGCTCAGAGTGGTCAGTGGATTGTTGACGAGAAACTAATGCGGGTGTTTTTAGCGCCAGTGCTTGCATGGCAATGATGGCATGGTACAATACGCCGGGTAGGGCCCGGACCTGGCAAGATGTCCTGCCGGCCTGTGCCTGTGCCTGTGGGTGCTGGGGGAGAGGCCAGGCCCCAAAATTTCCCGCCCTACGCTACTACCTAGTGGTAGGTACTCGGCTTGTAGGCAACAAGCTTTGAGTTCGGTATGTCACCCAAGACCTCCCGTCAGGCCCGGGGGCATCCGACTTTCCGTACTCTTTTTCTTACTTTTCTTTTTCAACAAAAAAAAAAGCTTTTATATGATTAACACAAATATTCCTGGCATCTCTTCTCGCAAATCAGCTGGCCCAAAAGGGGGCTTTTTGGATGAAATGGTGCGTCCTGGGTTGTAGCGCACGTTTGGCCAAGGGCGGGGACTTGTCTTGAGAAGAAAAGAGCAAGGTGTCTCGGTGTGTAGCGTACAAGGTACACTTTCGTGAAAAAGGGAATTATAGGGCAAGTTATTGGGACTTCGATAGCACCCCGGGCTGCTGCTTGGTGCTGCAAGATTCAGGGACTCGATCTCGTCAACCCGATAGCAGCACTTCAACCATTAACCTTCCTTCATATATGACAAGTTCCAACCGAATCAAGGGAGACGGCTTTGAGTGTCCTTCAACACGAGATTGGTAGCGTGGATATGGATGGAACTGGATTGAAGTCAGAAGTCAGCGGCCTCGACAGGTCTCTCATTGTGTTTCTACATTTTCCACGTTCTTCAAGGTTTATGATATCGCTAAAAGTTTTTCTCTGATAATGGATCTATGACGCTGATTGGTAGGTAGGTATGTAGTGGCGCTCTGATTTAACTTCACTTCTGCAGATATGCGTTTGGGTATGCAATGCATATGCGTGTGTGTGCGTGGTATATCGGTGTGGTGTCTGGGACTGCAATGGTTCCCTTTTCTTGCCTCCTCGAGACAAGCGAAGGAAGAATCGATAACGGAATAGTGTCTGATGCACTACCAGATACACACACACACGTTCCGCACGATATACACTATGGTACGCCGCTGCCACACCTGAAAGACGAACGACCAAATATGTGGCTCCTCGCGAGGAGGAGCAGGTATGATCGCTGAGATGAGCAAACAGAAGAATCTTTACACCGCGGTCAAAAGTAGACAAGAAGCCAACCGGCCAGTTTTTTTTTTTTTTTTTTTTTTTTTTTTTTTTTTTTTTTTTTTTTTTTTTTTTATCTTCTTCTTTTTCTTTCTCTTTTTGCAGAAAACCTGCAACAAGCCCCCGATGCAGTACAATATACTGCTAGCGAGGAGACCACACGAGACTTTTCCCAGTCTGGCACACCCATATGCATGTTTTGAAGTATCACCTCCCTTTCCTCACCGCCCTGAAATTCCCGGTCCTGTACCCCGTAACCCCATACATACCCCATACTTTTCTCGATTATCGGGGAAGCTGGCTCGCTGGGTAAAGTCAATCGGCATATAGTATAGTATTCAATTTCGATGTCAGAAGAATGAATCTCGTCATGCCGTGAGCACCGCCAAGCATCAGCCGGATTTTGTCTTCAGCAGACGACGTGGGAGGGGGATAATCCTCCACACACTTCGATTTACCAGGTGCTACGACTTGGTACGTCCCGAGGTTTTATACCCTTTGAATGCTTCATCAGCGCAATTCCAGTCTTAGCGGGTACCAGTAGGTAGCAAAAAGACAGGGCAAGCCAGAGAAAGCCAAGGCGCAGCAAATGCCAAGGGGTGAAAGAACTTGAACAGGGACATGCGCAACAACGATGTAACCTCATCGCTGTAGGGACGGTAGGGTTAAAGTTGAGATGAACAGCATCAACGAGCGCCGTTTTAACTGACAAAGGGATACCTAACACGCAGGGCAAGAGAGGCGCGGGCTGGCGCGTGCCTGGTAAGTGCCAGGATATCTTTCGTATTCTATTGTACATAAATACTACCTGCTTTATGCATGTACAAACCCCGTTTACTTGGCAGGCTGGCGGTTTTCGGTGTACTGGACCGATCATGGACGATTTGCCTGCCACGGGCAGTGGTGGGTTTACGGAGAGGAATAGCGAAATGAACGTGGAACCATAGCCGAAAACAACAAGATGGATTTTATCAATGTAGTGCAGAGGAAGTGGACAAGGGGGATGCTGATGAGATTCAGGATGTTATATTTCCCCACGCTACCTGCGGTGCTACTTGCAATGGAGGAAGCCTTTGGTACCGTTGGTGTGAAGCGACGTATACGGGAAGCAAACATGGGTGGAAGCTCAACATGAGTTTTGGCCGGGTCGTCGGCTATGCGATGGTAGTGTACGCAGTAGGTAGGTATCTCTCTGCTGACAGTGGGAAGGCGTTCGCCCAGGACGCTGTACAATGGCAGCCAAACTCTCAAAAGCCTGGAGAACCTTGTTGCTCGCCACCACTTTAAAGTTCCTCTCCCAAATTGGCAGGCAACATGAGGGCGATGTGGAGTCTGGCGCCTGCAGAATCCTCGAATTTGGAATATAAAATGCCGTTGTGCCATGGCTTGCTGCTTGATGCTTGGTCTTGGTCTTGGCCTTGGTGTCGGTCTTGGGCACCGGGACGGAATTCAATGCCGGAGCAAAGCCTTATGAGGAAGTTGATATGATGAAATCTGTCAACTATTCTGTTAGTCCCGTGACCATGTCGGACCTGCTCCTAACCTTATTTCCCTGCTGCTCTGGATACAGATTCGTAATATAGACCACATGACATGCGTGTGAGATGCTGTCGTGCTGCCGTGCCTTTCAGATGCTCCAACGCAACGCATTCACGGACTCCTGCTATGCGTGCGCTGGTGTACAATGACTGTTGCATCTTGTTTCTCAGAAAAGGCGGTGGAGGATGTGCCTCCCAATGTCAATTTCCCCTTTCCGCTTCTTGATCTCTGGCGATATGGATGTTCCCTTCTGGTCCTTGATGCGAGTCCCAGCTCCCAGATCCCGTCCGTACTCCGTACCAGCATCAACGACCGCGCATAGAGAGACTCCTCCTACTCAAACGTTGTCCACCGTAGCATATCTGTACACGCCACTCTGAGCGAGGCTGGACTACACCAACTACCTACTCCAGGCAGGAGTGTGTAGAGGTAGACAATGTAAGCTCGCAAGGGTCATGCTACCTTACCGTACCTGGGAAGTGATGATGTTTGCGATGCGACAGTCTCTTTAGCTGGGAGAGCTGGCATTGGAGATTCGACCTTCAAACAGTCGATCGCTCATCACTCGAATTTCGTCTTCAGTTCTTCTCATTCTCCTTCTAGAAAGATGGAAACCAGCGCACCCGCCCATCTTTCCAAAATCCAAAGACGTCCCCCGTTTGCGGATACCGATGGGCGTCGTAGCGCGGGCCTGACTGGCTGCTAGCCTGCTGCAAACCCACTTGGCAATCCACCGCGAATCCCATTACCCCTGGTTTATGCTGGTTTTGGTAAGTTGTGCAGGAGTGGATGCGCAGTGGACAAGACACACTGGCAAACTGGCACCGCATTGGCACGCCATGGCCAGGGGAGGAACCCACACCCGAGCCACAACTGCACTCGGGCTCCATTGCAGCACAGTGCGGCTGCCGTCCACACCTTCCAGTTCCCTTGTCTTCCAAGTTCAGAGTTCTGGGGAGTTGCAGGCGCACTGGAGTGACGGCACCCACGCTGGAGGACACGCTGAGCAACCAACAGCGGCCAGGACCTGGAGGCGCAGATGCGCGACTCCCGTTGGCTGATGTGCCTTTGGAGGCTCCACTTTGTGGTTTTTCTGTTCCAGGTTGTGTTCGTTCCGCTCACCCTGCCGTCCATAGACCGGCCGCTCCCACTGCATCTTCACCTTTCCATTTCCTCACTCTTTCAACCACCCCATTCATTCTCCCTCTTCACCATTTCACCGTCGTCACTTGTCGTCGACACCACACCCTTCCTTTTGGTTCAATTTCAGCGGCAGATCTTGAACGATTTGCGCTGGCTTGACCGTCCACTCCTTTAACCAAAACTTTCAAGTTGTCGTCGCCAGCGTCACTTCTGCTTCGCGACGAAATACTCTAATTCTTTGTTGCCCTGCCTTCAGTTTTTTCTTCTAGTCCTTGGCTGCTCGTCCGTCTCTGATCTGACTTGACCATTGGTACGTTTCCGCCTTATGCGATTCAGTCTGGGTCATGATGGCTTTCATGACTTCTCTATGAATCGCATTTTATTTGTCCAGCGGTCAATTGTCCAATCCGCAGTCATCTCCAGGCATATGGCAATCAGCTGTATTACACCTCCCTTGTCGCTGACATTGCCGACTCTCTAGCCTCAGGTCCGCAATCCATCGCCTTGTAATCCTTTAATCGTCACAACCTTCCCGACCTCACCACCCCTCTCGCCATCGCCAACCGCTATTGCGTCGACGTGCTAGCGAATCCCGTTCCATCCGGCAATTAATGTCGCTTACCTTCAACTAAGTGTCGTTGTTTGTGGTGCCGCGGTGCGGCTTGGGAAAAAAAAACAACATGGCGGCCATGATGGGTCCCGAAGTGATGGTTGGATCGACTATCAATCCTTTTGATCATTCAGCTACCGCTTCCGACATGACCAACAAGACTCCTCGATCTTCCATTCCGCTGCCTAATCCACCCTTTGTCTTTCCTGCCAAACCGACTTCTTCGGCGCCCTCTTCGTACACCCGCGCTACTGGAAGACGGCCACACTCCGCTATCGAGCCACAGCTTCCGAGCTTCTCCCTTGGTGCTGACATCGAGAAGCCCGTATCCAGATCACCTGCGCTTCCGGCCCTCCCCGCCTTTTCATTCAACCCAGGCAACCCCTTACCTCCAGCAGCGCTCACCGAGAGCTCGTTTCTCAGCCCTACTCTTCCTCCATCGGCTCCTTCTTCGCCAATGGCAATTCCAATCCGGCCCGGTGGTCATGGTCATCGAAGGGGAGGCAGCGAATTTGTTGGAGGCAGCATTCGTGGCGGAGATTCGATCACGGTCAACTTGGGTTCTAGTCCGACCAAGTCAGAAAATGGCTTGGCTTCCCCCTTGCTGCAACCAAAGAAGCCCGCTGGTCGCAGGGGTCATGCTCACCGGAGATCTGCCGCAATTTCAAGCCACGACTTGTCTTCTATTATTCTCCCTCCTACCGCCAGAGAAGTCAAGAAGGATAGTCCCCCGGCTAGCCCAGCGCCTGTTGACCCTCCCAAGGAACTTTCACCGGTCAGTGATGAGAAATCGCAGCCTGAGACGACAACAACAACGATGGCTGTTTCCGAGGTTACGGAATCAGTTGCCCCAGAGGTATCGACACCACCCGCCCAGGAGCCAGTAGCACCCACGGAAGCCCAGGAACCCCCGAAGCCAGCCGTCCGTACAAGGGTTGGTTTCTCTGATACTCTCGAATACATTCCGAGACCTGTTTCACTTGTTTCTAGCGACACCTCCAGCACGGTTACCGCTCGTCCTGGCCATTCCGTTTCGGGTAGTATTTCGTCCGTCATCTCCATCACAAACGTGGAGCTGGGCTTGAACACTATGGCATTTAATTCGTCGCCCGAGCTCAATGACCGACCAAGTACTGCTGGAGCCGTTCTTGAGCGGACCGAGACAGGCCAGGAGCAGGCCCAGGAAATAGTTTCGCCGAGACGCCGTGGTTCCATTCCCCTTCTTGGTTCGCTTCCGCCGCCTTCAGCATATACGTCGGCGACTCCCAGCCCTATCAAGTCCTCCAAAAAGTGGTCTTTCTTCGGCAAGGATAGCTCCTCAGCTTCATCTCCTACCAGGCCTTCGGAGTCGCCCAAGCTGTCGACATCAGTAACGGCCACTCCGCAGCGCTTTCCCGGTCTTTCGCCCCAGGGGTATCCTGAAGAGCTGGCGGAGATGAAACCACTCACGAAGAAGAGAAGCAAGAAAAAGAAGAAGGTCAAGACGTGGGCCGGGTCCATTCTGTCTCGGAAGCAAAGCAAAAAATCGCGACACGGCAAGGGATTGAAGCGAACCCCTACGCCTACTTCTCGGCGTTCCTATAGTGTGAACGAGTCAGCTGTTGACGTGCTCTCTGAACCGGAGGCAGTTATGCCTACAGTTCTGGTGACGGAGTCAATCGACCCCACTGCAAAGGACTGGGATTCATACAAGCCTGCATCCCTTCCTGACGAAGAGACGTCATACCAAATGATTGATTTGGACGCGGCATTGGGACCGTTCAATACGCCCCTCCCTCGCAACCCAGAGTGGGAGGCGGCCCAGAGAGCGGGAGGTACTGTAAAAAAACAATTGCACAGCGCTGCGGGTTTAAGGGGCTTTACTGGCCCTGGAATGCATTATCACAGACGTGCTGAGAGTGCACCCGAGTTGGTACCTTTCGAAGGTGGTCGTTTCGGGTTCCCTCGGTTCGGGAGCAGCTCGACCATGGCTGATGTCTTTGAGGAGGACGAAGAGGAAGACGAGGATGAGTCGCCCAAGTCTACTGGACAGTCAACCCCTGTTATGGAGACGTCCCCGGCCGATACTTTTGAGGAGTCGAAAGCTTCTGCAAAGGGTAAGGATGTCGCGAAGTCCACTGCCGATGAACAACGGGAAACGGCAACCGAATCTGTTGCTGTACCTTCAGGAGTAGAAACCGACGAGGATGGCAACGCTTCCGTGAAGTCTTCAATCCATACAGGGTCTCTGGGCAGGCGGTCTCAGGATGCGCTTCAACAAGAGACATCTGTCACTGATTCTCCCCGTCCTAGCTTCAGCGGATATCAGAATGAGCTGCAGGCTAGACACAGCTTCTCGGGGTCTGCGACTCCTTCGCCCAGGCAGACCTTCCGTCCCAAGGACCTTGCTGTAGTTGACTGCAGTCCTTTGACCTTGCCTGCTGCTGTGTCATGCGCACCGGTCAGTCCTCACTCGATGACCCCGTCATCAGCCTTCCCGTCTCCCAGGTCTCCCTTATCCTACGACGCCCATCGCATTTCGACGGCACCTTCATCCATTACTGAGGACAATTTCCAATCACTGCTTATGGGCGAACCCGGACCAGAGGTACGGATCTCGGTGGATGATGTCCCATCATTGACCAGCGGCGACTCGTCAATGACTCGTGAGAGCTTCTTTGCACAAAACCCTCAGGCTAGGCAGCTATCCTCCAACACGCTGCCTAGGCCTGCCTCGTTCAGTGCCTCTGCCTTTGGTCGAAGGCGATCGAGTCTTGCTAGCCTTAGCCGTCTTGTTAGCAGCTCGCATGGTGAGCGCAGCAAGCTCTCGATGGAGGTTACGGCGACTGATGACGGATTGGAGAAGAAGGTCAAACCCAGCAAGACCAAGCGGCTCGGCCGGTTTGTACAGTTCTGGAAATCAAAGGAAAATTGCGAGGCTTAACGATATTTTCAGACGAAACTAGCTAGGAGCATGGGTGTCAAGGCTCTTCTGTTTTAATGTGGCGCTAAGTACGGAATTTTGGTGATCTAGATGAGATTTATCGGGGGGCTTTTCGACTTGACGGATAGGGCGTTTTTCTTTTTGACGATAGCACGAAGGACAAGATAACACGAGACGAAGGGGAGCAGCAATAGCAATCTCGGTCACACCAGAAATTTGTCTAGGGGACGAGATGTTGATTTCTCGAGGACTGATGTGGTTAAGGGACATATGATTCAAAGGTGGACGATGACAAATCTTTTTGTGATTCTATGGACATATCATTGCAAATGTCTACGATCGACTTAGGGTGGAAGGTTTTGATCAGGTGAGCTTCAAACGCAACACGATTATGAGGCAATTCAAACCATGATACCATGCGCTTAAAACGCTGCTATTGTTTATGTCGGTGCCTTTCTGTCTTGGTGCTCTTGTCCATTCCATTGGGGTAATATGGATTGCCGTCCCAGGAAACGAATAACACTTCAGCCTCGGCTTCAGCGACACAAAGGGTTCTTGAGTTTCAGCGCGCCGTAGTGACGCCGCCAGATGGGTTTCAACCACTAGGGATCCGCATCTACGGAGCCACGTAGCGGTAGATGCAGCCGCCGGAAACGCCGATGCGCAGCTGGCCCGTCAGGGGTACCCCGATCAACCGCACTGGCAGCAGCAGCAGCAGCAGCACCTCTGTGGGCACAGCACTTTGGACACCTTGACATCAACAAACAATACCTGAGCCCTACACGACCGACGATACGCTGTTTTACGAGATCAAGCTACACTGCAGTGGTATTGATCACGGTTCGCCCACCCGTTACAGATCGATCATCGAGGACCGTGCACCAAGAGTCGCTCTACACACGGACAGAGCTATACCGATTTAGCGACACCACAGTCGGCAACTGCGGTGCGAGAACGATCCACTTCACGGACACGATTTCCAAACGAGGATACGCAAGTCTATTCCCCAAAGGGCTCCCTCGTTTCTCGTCGACCTGCTTTCAGTTTCAAACGCGGGTTTACCTCTGTGGATCATTTATACCTTCATAGCGTACTACCGAGTACCGAACGACCGACCACTAGCACTGGCGCTGGCGCAACTAAAGACTCGACCTTACGGATAGCATTGACGAAGCTTGACTAATCTCGTTCGTTCGTGTCTGTCTTGCTCTTGGATAAACGAGTCGGAATCACATCAAGACACCATCGGGCAGCTCCGTTGGAAATGAACGAGGAAGAAGAGTTATCCCTGCTGCTAAATTAAGAGGACACGCAACGATCATAAAAGCGCTACAGAACAAACAAACCGGAGAACACGTTACATAAACCACAGACACGGATACACACATACACAGACGTACATATATATATAAACAATGTCTAACCGCAGCGCAGCCAAGCGCCTAATCAAGGAGCTCACGACCTGGAGCAACATCGAGTCCAAAGAAGAGAAGGGCGTCGAGCGGTTAGGTCCCATCAACGACGATGAGTTGTTGGTTTGGGAGGCCGTGATTAATGGGAAGGGGGTAGGTGGTGGCTATGATGGTATGTCTTTTCCTTTTTTTTTTTTTTTTTTTTTTTTTTTTTTTTTTTTTTTTTTCCCTCCATCTTATCCACCCCCCTTTCCCTTTTCATATTTACCTCGTCCCCTTAGCCACACCCCCTCCCCCTTTTCTCCCAAAAGAGCCTCCATTGTTAACGGTAACTACACAATCTCCAGAAGGCCGCTGGCTCCTCCACATAACCCTCCCACCGACCTACCCCCTCCACCCACCAACCATCAAATTCATCACCCCCATCGTGCACGCCAACGTAGCCCTTACCACGGGGGAGATCTGTCTGGACTTGCTCAAAGAAGCATGGACGCCCGCTTACAGCGTTTTGGAGTGCGTGAGAGCCATCAGGCTGTTGTTGAGCTGTCCAGGCATTGACAGTCCGCTTAATGTGGATGTTGCGGCGCTTATAAGGCAAGGGGATCATGTGGCGGCGAGAGGGCTGGTGGAGTTGTGGGTTGAGGAAGAGAGGTATGAGGGGTCTTGAAAGAGTTGGGCAGAGGGCAGGGATGGGGATGTGGGATGGAGGTGTTGAATGTATGGGATGGGTGGAGGGGAGAATATGAAGAAAGGGTATAGGGTGAGTGTTGTAGATTGGGGGGGGGAGAGGGCTGGATTGGAAAGCCGTGGGATGGGAAATAGACTATTGGATTTATTTTGGCTAGTATTGTGGAAGCCTCTTACATACGAAGAGCAGTTATGAGTATGTTATGTAGCTCTACTCCCTCCAGGCAACAGATGACATTTCATGTTTCCAGACCTTATGTTTGCTGTTGTAGCGAATCTTCCAAGATGCCAGCCAACGCCTGTGGGCTTGGTGTAGATCGTCCCTGAGAAACACGCTGAGATATCGGTGGAAAATGGTATTGGTACTCGTCACAGCCACGCTACTGCCATATATGAACTTGTAGAGACGCACAACAATTCGACACTTGTGCAGTGACTGGTCATGGTTCCTTACTATGTATACACAAAAGAAAGCGACATCGCTTCAAACTGAATCATCGGAGATGGCCTATGGTTACTGTATTAGAGAGCGGCTACGGTTGTTAGTCACGAAGAACAGAACGGAACGATATACCAACCTGGACTTGATGCCAGCAAGAAACCTAACCGCAACCCCTTACTTGTCATTATGCTATTAGTTTAGGAAAAATGAACTTCAAGAGTCCCCCATGTTTCCTCGCCCATAGTCTAGTATATATCGTCAGAAGTCGTCGCTGTATGTCTTTGAAAACTTGACCAAATAAGGTTTGTTATATGATTCCTTGCCCTGGTCGCTCAGAGCTTTTGGAGTTAGCAACGAGCTCTGCTCTCGACAACAAGCATACAACCTTGATCATCACACAAGGTTGCGTCTGGCGCATCACACATCAGACGTGTATTTGAACCGCACCCTCCAGCTGTGCACTTTTCGCTTCCCACATCCCTTCCCATAACCCAAAACTCATCAAAAATTTACAAGAACTTAGAAGAACGCCACAGTTGCTGGGTCTAGCAACTCTGGATGCTGTGAAATTGAACATCTCCAAGGCAGAAATTCCACTGTTACTAGCCAGACTCTTGCCTTTGGCCGTGGGCAGCTCGAGGACGAATGAGGAATAGGGCAAAGGTTGAGTAGTCATCCCTGAAGGCCCAGACACTATGCTGTCATCATCAAGGAGAGACTGTCATTGCGTCCAGTGGCGGCTTAGGATATACACGCAGTGTAATACTCGATACCGGCAATTTGTTCACTCGTTGTAGTGATAAACCTAATGTTTCAGCGTTAGTCCGACGTATCCCACCTTGACATGGCGCACAGCACACACAAGACGCACCTTGTAATTGGGCAAACCAGTTGCTTGCCAGCCCAGTCTTTTGGCCATTTTGGCAAAGCCTTCCGTCTCGATCAAGTGGTAAAAGGGGAACGCGGGGAACATGGCTCCGTCACGGTGCACCTCGGCCTTCACCAGCAATGCCGTACCTCCTACGCCATCCAAAGGCACTTCGGTGTGTATATCCGCACCCGCCTCATACATGTAAGCCATTAGGGCCCGGTAGGTTGCCATGTCGGCGTAACCTTCGAGGAGAATGTCGTCCTTGCCCATCTTAGAAGCCAGCTCTTGCGCGGTCGGGCTGTCCTGCCAGTTGTTGAAGTCATAGGGCCGCTCGTCCATAGCCTTCTTTTCGGCGTTGTAAAACCGCTGGAAGCAGTTGGGCACCGTGAGCGGCTTGCTATGGCTGGCAAGATCCTGGATGAGAGTAGGAGGTGTCTCGACGATGTCGGCGTCCAACCACAACACCCACGATGTGTCGGGCCCGAGGGTCGTAAAGAGGAGCGAATTGCGGGCTTTGGCCATGGCAGCCCGGCGTGCCTTCTGATTTGCCATCTTGTGGCGCTCGCTCTCATCCTGGGACGGGATGGGCGGGTCGAAGTCTTGTCGTAGGATGATGATGCTCTTAAACCTCTCCTTCTCGAGTCCATGCTTCTGGATCTTTGCGATCTGCTTCTGGAGCTCAATGGTGGCCGCGTTACCCTCCTTGGTCTTGGGTAGAATAAAGCCCAGTGTGATTAGCTCGTGGGGATACGAGAGCTTCAACAGGTTATCCCAGTACTCCTGGTAGAAGCGGGCCATGGGCGTAAGGACAAGGACGTTCTCGCGGTTGCCAACGGGGTCGTTTGTAATGGTGACATTGTTGAGGTTGTAGCGTGTTACTGGTGGAGGACCTGCTTTGCCGCCGACAGCGCTTGACTTGCGGAATGGTGATGTCGGCGGAGAGAGAGGATGCAACGCGGCTGTGGCCTTGCGAGCGGCAGAGAAGTCGGGAGCTGAGGGGGATACTAGAAGGTAGAGGATGACGATTACGAGGACGATGCCAACAGCGATCGTTCCCGGGCTCGTCCTCTTAAGACGAACCGGCCCCAATGGACGCGCCATGGGATGTTGGAGGATCTATCAAAGAGAAGTAATCATATAGTCGTCTGGATTTGAAGGCGCGCGCGTTCCCGTCGTCCGTGGTTGGCTCCTTGTGTATGGCCGTGGTCTCTTTCAGTTGTGGGGTAAAAGACAATGCTATAGCACTGTTTAAAGCGCTCTTGCTCCTAGCTTCCTACGCGATAATGGGAGCTACGCGTATATATTCGTCGGCCAAATGAAGGTTGTCGAAGCCGGTGTCGGTGTTGTCCTGGACACTTTTTTAGTCGGCCACTCAATCGAGTCGGGGTCGAGGGGCGGCCAGGGGCATTGGCAACTCGAGCGGGATGGGGGAATTTAGGGGACGAGGAAAAATTGGGCTTCTGGAAAGAAGACAAGGCGCAAACTGCAAATGCAGAGGCCAGAAATGGGGAAAAGGGGTTCAGTGCAGCGCCGTGCCAGAAACCCCAATGGCTGCTGACATGGGTCAATGTAATCTGAAACGGTACAGGCAATTCCTGTCCGCTGGCTTTGGTCACTCCAGCAGCATTTTGGACAGCTTCGGGTCTCAGTCGCGACTGGCAATCGTGGCAAGGCAACTGGCGACACTCTTGGTCGTGCGCAACCGTGGAAAGGAAAGTGAGAACCGAAGTGGCAGCAACGACGTCGATCCCGTAAGTACGAAGCACTCCACCAGCCTGCAACTTCAACTCCAAGCCGGGGGCTTTCGTTTGCTAGGCGAAGCGGAGGGACAGGCAGCGATTGGAGACCCTCTAGACTAGGTACCTCTAGGTAGGTAGGTACATCTAGTCCTAGAGGTACCTATTAGGTGGAGGCTACAGGGCGAACGCCATCTGCCGTCAAAGTTGCCCTGGAGGCACAGAAGGGACGGGATGGAGGGGGGGAGGGTGGGGGATGCCGGCCAGCAGCTGTCCTGGTGACGGCACCTCAGCGGCATCGGCAGCCCACGTCAGAGCAACTGTAGCCTTGCACCAGTGCCTCTGGCTCCAGGTGCCGAGCTCACATAGCGGATTGCCTCTATCGTACCTCGAAGCAGCAACATCATCAACCACGAAATCCGAGCTTCATCGAGCCGACTGTTTCTACTCTGACCTGACATCCCCTTGCCGGCTTCGAATTTCCCACCTAGCCACACACGTTTCCCACAGTCGACACCAGCGCGCGCATCAACCATGCCGATATCACCCATTATTACGTTCAAGGCGGGCATTTGCGACGTAGATGTTTGTACCACCCTTCCTCCCAGCTTCCCCCGCCCGCCATGACATCCAGTTTTCTCGGCCACTTTGTCGCCTGTCCTCGCCAGCTAGTCTGGTTATTGCAACGAAACTAACATCCATATTCACAGCAAACGTCGAAGCCGTACAAGGTCACGCCCCAAGCCAGGCCCGGCTACATCTACCTTTACTCCGAAGAGGGTATGTGGACCATGAATCTCCAGCCAGCGCCGTGGGAGCCGACTCCTTTTCGTGACACAAGCTGACCATTTCATCTCGCAGATTTCATCCATTTCTGCTGGCGCCCTAGAGATGCCCCTGCGGACGAGCCCGAGCTCGACCTCGTCATGATCCCCGAGGACGGACACTTCCTTCCCTACGACACCAAGTCTCCTGCCCAGGCCTCCGCCAAGACTAACGGCCGTATCTTCTCGCTCAAGTTCTCTTCCTCATCACAGCGCCATATCTTCTGGCTGCAATCGAAGCCTCAGGGTCCGAACGGCGACCCGTCTTTCCTGAGCCCAAGAGATCTGAAGATTGGAGAGATTGTGGACAAGCTTCTGCAGGGCTACGAGGTGGATGTGAACAGGGAGCTTGCTTCACTCAGCAGCGGCGGTGGTAACAACCGCCGAGACGATGATGACGACGAGACAATGGAAGACGTTGAGGGCCACGGAGACCCCAATGCCCACCACGAGGGCGGTACTGGCGGCGCTGGTCCCGATGCCACTGGTGGTGATGTCAGGAGGGAGGGCGAGGACGCCAGAGAAGGAGGAGCAGATGGAGCAAGAGCGTAGGTGCTGTTTTCCCGTCACATGAGTTTTGGGAGTTTGGGTTGCTTTGGCGCGCACATCATTTGATCTACTTCAACCAAACATGAGCAAGCTATGGCGCAGAGCAACAAGAACGGTGCAACTGTATTGTTACTTGCTAGAAGGCACTAAAATTTGACATGCACATGGCGTCCCTCTGCTTTCCGCAAAATTGCGTCTCCGATGCCATTACATGTGCTAATATAGTTCTCGTTGACAGGGCAAATGCTACGAATGCCGAGGCGGATGCGGCTGCCGTTGTACGGAACTTCCTCGAGTCCTTGAAAGGCACCCAAGGGCTTGCCGTAGGTCAAGCCCAAGCCCAAGGCAAATCCTACCCTTTACTCAACGATCTTCTTGAATCCTCAGTCACGATCCCGATGCTCGATTCCGCCACCGACGAATATGTCGACAACCTCTTGAACTACCTACCCCCGACCGTCATTGTCATGTCTCAGCAAGGTGCCAGCGGTACTGATGCCATCGAGGTTGAGCCTAGTGCCGAGTCTGTTGAGGCCGCTCGGCAGGCTATGAGTCAGG